AGCCCAACTAAGCCTGTAGCTTTAGCAGAAGAGGAGCACCATTGTGAAAGATGCCCAAGACAAAGCAGAGCACATACACGGTGCACCTAGGCCAGACCCGCAGAACTGGTCAAACTGATCTATGTTCATCCATGCTGTGGGTCACTAGTTAATGGCTATATAAAAGAAAACAATGAATGAAGCAGAACTAAAGTACAATTTCATCTTTTAACTCCAAGACAGGGTTTCTCTGTGCAGTTGGCCGCCCTCAAACTCAATCTGTAGACCAGGCTGGCCTCGAACTCAGAGATCCACTTGCTTCTGCTGGGATTAAAGGTGTGTACCACCACTGACCAGCTAATTCATCTCTTTTGAAAGCAGGTTTATTATTACATTTATTTAAATATGTGTGTTGTATGCTACTGTATGCTCGTAGAGGTCTGAGAACCACTTTCAGGAGTTGGTTCTCTTTTCACTCCTGAGTCCTGAGGATAGGACTCAGGTCCTCAGGCTTGGTTGCTAACACTTCTACCTGCCAAGCCTCTTGCTGGTCCCTTGTCTTTTTTTATTATTATTATTTATTTATTATGTATACAATATTCTTTCTGCTTGTATGCCTGAAGGCCAGAAGAGGGCACCAGACCTCATTATAGATGGTTATGAGCCACCATGTGGTTGCTGGGAATTGAACTCAGGACCTTTGGAAGAGCAGGCAATGCTCTAACCACTGAGCCATCTCTCCAGCCCTCCCTTGTCTTTTGAGAAAACACTTGAAAAGTAACAGCACAACATCAGTGAGTTATTCTTCACTGGTCAGAAAGTATGGCGAAGGGACTGAGACATGCCAGGGATGGAAAAAAGCAAAGTGTTACCCACAAACTGGCTACTGGTTTACTGGCATAGGCTGCCTCTAGGATTCTGCTACTAGCACCCTTTCCTAGAAATCTGAAGGCCCATTTTCTGTGCCTGGAGGACTGCCATCAGGACCTGGTCATCTCCACATACCCTTACTTGGTACAACCTGCTTTGTGACAAAACTTCTGGGGAGACATAACACACACATCTATTCACCCCAGATACAGAACCCACAACAGACCAAATTTTATGAATACTACCAAAGTCCGACTTAGTGAACCACTGAGTTTTATTGGGGTAACTTATAGGAATATGGGTGAAGTTACTTATAAGCGCAGAAATGATTTCAACAGCTGCACATCAAAGCCCACTCCCAGCATGGGTGACAGCTCACAAAGCTGGGAACCTGGAGCACATCGCATGGCCAGTGGACAGAATCAACAGGTCTGGAGAGTACCCTTTAGTGTTGCCGGTGTTGGCTTAGTTCTCTTCCAGCAAGCTTGACTGCTTTCTGCTTCTTCCTGGCAGCTGGTGTGGTCTCAGTCTGAACAGCTAAAGCTTCCTTCCTTGTAAGGGGCACTCTTATCTTGTATTGTTTACTGTGGCAGGGAGGGGCCTAGTGAATCTGATTAGTTTCACGGACTTCCTAAAGCTATTTTGAATTGTTCAGTTTTCTTAAGGAGCTACCTGCAAAACGAACTCTTTAATGTTGGAGAAAACTATTACACAAAAGACTGCACCTGGGCCAAGGGCACCAGGGACCCTACCTCCACCTCCAGGGGAAACCCTGCTTTTATAACCTGTGTTAGAAACCTGTAGCCAGGCATTCAAGTCCCCAGTGGCTTCTAGGTGCCACATCTGACCATCCCTTAAAAGTGGCAGTTGGCCCGTCTGCCCCAGAACTCCGTTTCAATCTTCTTCCCAGATCACTGACACTTTGCAGGGACTATTTTCCAGGGATGTCTTCCAAGCACCTTGCCTTCTATCCCAAAACATCCCAGGTAATTCTTAGGCTGCTGGAGCAAAGCCACTGCTCCTCAGGATACCAAGCACTGCTTGGTGCTGAGAACAAACTGTCCATGCCTCACCCAAGGTTTGAGGCCCCTACCTACCCAGACAGCATCATTCCCACAGCACCCTGATTGTCACTCATCTCCCTGCTGCCTAAGGCTGGGTCAAATGAACCAAACTGTAGATTATGAACCCACAGTGTACCAATGGGGTAATAAAATTCTGTTCTCAGGGTGGTGGCACACACCTTTTAATCCTGGCACTCTGGGAGGCAGAGGCAGGCAGATCTGAGTTCAAGGCCAGTCTGGTCTACAATGCAAATTTCAGAATAGCTAAGACTGTCAGAGAAACCTTGTCTCAAAAAGACAAACTCTATTCTCTAAGTCCCCAAAGAGCACCCTAATAGATGTCCCACTAATAGACAATGGGACATCAATGACCTTTGCCCTCATGGCACACTGGACTCAACTGTAAATCCACCACATAGACTAGGGCTGAGGACAAGATCCAGTGACAAGTCTACATCACGGACATGTGACCTATTAAGCACCAACAGGCTAAGATGCTGCAAGTAGGCCTTCAGGATGAAGAGGGGAGGGTACATAGCAGTTGCAGGTACCTCAGGAAGCCTGAGTTCTGCAACGTGGCCCTACTATGTGTGAATGCTGAGACATCACCCAACTCCACCTCAAGCTTCAAAAGAGTAAAGGTACAGCTGGGCGGTGGTGGCACACACCCTTAATCCCAGCATTAGGGAGGCAGAGGCAGGCGGGTCTGAGTTCAAGTTCATCCTAGCCTACAGAGGAGTACCAGGACAGGCTCCAAAGATACAGAAAAACCCTCAACAAATAGAAAAAAAGAGTAAAAGGTATCAAAGGATTCAAGACTGACAGTATTGCTTCCAGCAGAGGGTTTGACATAGTGCACCTTCATCTGCGTAGCATGACTGCACTCCTCATGGCTGAGTTATCACTGCTTCACACCCACAAGTCCAAAGCAGGCTTCTACCCAGTTCTTACCTTCTGTGTCCCTGGCTGCATCTACAGAACCAAAGCAAGCAGTTCTGGACTACTTCAGATACAAGTGCATGAAACTCTTCTCCCATGTTCTGTATTGGTTTGAGAAAACCTCCTGGCTGGGCGGTGGTGGCGCAGCCTTTAATCCCAGCACTCGGGAGGCAGAGGCAGGCGGATCTCTGTGAGTTCGAGACCAGCCTGGTCTACAAGAGCTAGTTCCAGGACAGGCTCCAAAACTACAGAGAAACCCTGTCTCGAAAACCCAAAAAAAAAAAAGAAAACCTCCTGAAGTCTATAAAACTGTTTAGAAGCTGGAGAGATGGCTCAGCGCTTAAGAGCACTGCCTGCTCCTCCAGAGGTCCTCAGTTCAATTCCCAGCATCCACACAGTGCCTCACAGCCATCTGTAAGATCTGGTACCCTCTTCTAGCCTGCAGGATACAGACAGAACACTGTACATGTAATAAATAAATCTTAAAAAACAAAACAAAAAAAACCCCATTTCTTAAATACCCGACTTTTCAGCTTCTCCTCAACGACTTTGATTCAGCAAGCTCTATCGGCTGTACACTAACTGATTAATATAAAACCATCTATTCAGGGATGCTTTTACAAAATGGGGGAGCACTTTCTCCACACATAAAAATTGAATAGCACATGTCTTTAAAGTCCGAACTCACAGGCAGACTTGTTGAAGCAGACCTAGAGGTTCCAGGACAGTCAGGACTACAGAGAAAAGAAAAAAAAAAAACAACCTGGATAAAATAAGGAGATCTCTGCTATTTGGCAGATCAAACCTCAAATCCTAAAAAAAAAAAAAAGGAAAAAGCCATTCACTACTTACTCCTACAGCAAATACCAGAGATGACTCAGAAAACTACGCAAAGCAGAAGCAATATATTTTCAAGTTCTTTCAATAAATGATGTAAATCCTCTACACTCTGGTTAAGCACACATGAAGTAGTTCTCAAGTTTAACTGTTACAAAAAAGAGTCATAAGGTATTTGCATTCTACATCAGGTTTACATACAGTGTATTAATTTAAGATGTCTAAATGAAGTTTCATCCCAGTCAGGGGAGAGGGTCTTCACCTGATTTTAGCATAGCATGTACATAGCATCTTGAAATTAGTAAAAGCTGGTGCACAGCACAACTTCCTTTCAGCCTCCTCATTTTAAGTTACTCAACCTTCTTTGGAGATAAAGTAGCCATCTGAAGTAGTCCACACTTTTAAGAACTTTGGTAGTAGAGCTGGGCAGCGATGGCCTTTAATCCCAGCACTTCGGAGGCAGAGGCAACTCTGAGTTCAAGGTCAACCTAGTCTACAAAGCGAGTTACAGGACAGTTCAGAATGTTCAGAGAAACCTGGGGGGAAATCAAAATAACTTTGGTGGATTGAACTAGCGAGAGCCCACACAAGGATTCCTTTAAATACATATTACCACAACACAGTTCTGACAGGATCACACCTAACAAAAGGCTCAATTGACATTTTCACATCAGATGCCCAGGCAAATCTACAGCAGTATTCTAGCTTTTCCTTTCCCTGTGCTGCCTATAAACAATCTCTGGGAATCAGATGCTGGGCCACAGCCTACCTACCATGAACACTTCTTTTGAGACAAGTCTCTCTATGCAGTTCTGGAACTTGCTCAGTAGACTAGGTTGGTCTTGAACGCAGATCCTCTTGCCTCTGCCTCCTGAGTGCTGGCTGAGACCACCACTCAAAAGGCGAGAACATTTTAGAGAACCAACGTTAGACGGGGAAACCAAGAAACATACATGTCAGAAAACCCTCAAGCTTCCTTCCATCAAAGGCAGTTCTAACTTCTGAAGGTCTAGGTTAGACACTTCGACTTACACTAAAACATCTGATTCACAATACAACTTTAAACAAGCTATTCTTTTAGGTGAAACTACCTAGCAAAATGCAGGTAGGGCAGATATCCTAGCTGAACCACAGTATTTACACCTGTAAGACAAGCGTTAGGTCACGACTTGATCCAAATGTCTGTGAAGGTAGGCACAGGAGAACATATCTGAATGAACCTCAGAGGCACTAAGCAAAGGCATTTTTAACTGTATGGCACAAGCTTCCTTACGTTAGCTGTAAAATGCTTATAAACAAGGGATGATTCACTTGTTTAGATTATTTGAAATACAACTTTATTCTGATTCTAAACAAAAAGAATGGGAATGACAGGAACAAGATTTTACCACTGACTGAATAGTGCGATGTGACTGTAGCAGTCTTATTTTTGAAATTCAGGAAACAACTGTGTTCCAAACAGCTAAATATGCAAGTCCAAAAAAATGAAGGTATGTTAAAAAAAAAAAAGGTTATGTTTTAACTGCCACATTCACTCCGAAGCCCATTCATCTCCTTTCAGCATCCAATGAAGTACACGATCTGCTTAGCTAAATAAGGTGGCACACACGCTGCACCGCTGACATCACAGGACAGTTGCCTATAAAACTAGACTTCTGACGCAGGGCTCCAGCTTCACTTTCTCACAGGTCATCATCCTCATCCGGGAGAGCAGTCGTTTGAGCGACCTGGAACAAGAAACAAAAAGAAAACACATAAGATCAAAACTGCCATTACCAAGTCAAACATAAGCACTAAGGACAAATGGGGCTGGAAGATGGCCCCATGGTCAAGAGCACCACCAGTTCTTGATTCCAAGTATCTACACGGCTGGGAGGATCCAATGTCAGCTTCTGACCTCTGCAGGCATCAGGCAAAGTGCAAACACACACCCATACACACCAGAAAAAAATTAAAAGGACAAATACCTCTAAATCATGCTCGTACTGTGCTGCCAAAGCTGGGTCCATGACCACCTCAGGTGGGGCAAGCGCAGGCATGGCAACAAACTCCAAATTAGGGTCTCCAATGAGCTTTCTGGCAAGCCAGAGGAAAGGCTTTTCAAAGTTGTAGTTACTTTTGGCAGAAATGTCATAGTACTGTTTATAACAAAAGGAAATTTATGTTTAAAAACTTCAGCTAGTGATCACCATTCCAAGACACTTTAAACTCAAAGACATTTTGTAATTCACATAAAACACACATTGGTCCTACATGACACAGTGTGCCTTACATATATATAATATTCTCTAAGAATGATTCAATATCCCTGAATCAAAGGCGTGGTGGTGCATGCCTTTAATCCCAGTACTCAGGAGGCAGGGGTAGGCAGATCTCTGTGAATTCGAGGTCAGCCTGGTTACAGAGCAAGTTCCAGAACAGGCTCCAAAGCTACAGAGAAACCTGTCTCAAAAAACAAAAAAGAAAAAAAGATTCAATAAATTATGAACATACCTGAAGGTTCTTCTTTCGGTGGAAGACAATAGATTTTGCCTTCACTTTTCTGTCCTTAATATCCACTTTGTTGCCACACAATACAATGGGGATGT